CACTGAATGGGCCTCCTTGGTTGGAGCTTTGTGGACATCCAACCCCTTACTCTAAAACATCAACAAGTAAGGACGGCTGCGTGATGTCCTCTGTGATGTTTTAACTGTGTTTTGTTCAGATTGATGTGTGTTTAACTGCGGCTTGTGTCTTGTTCAGATGGATGTGTGTGTGTTTTAGCTGCTTGTGTTTTGTTCAGATGGATGTGTTTGTGTGCTTGTGTGTGTTTGGTGCAGCATGGAGGAATGTGAAGCGCTGTGCACTCGACTGGCCATCATGGTCAACGGACAGTTCAAGTGTCTCGGCAGCATTCAGCATCTCAAATCCAAGTAAGTCCTCACTTTACTCAAATATCTGCTCTTTCCTCTGCTGCATGTACATTGCTAGTAGGCCTTGTCCCTCTTCATTGTGACATAGAGTCAGTGTCGTGGAAATTGGGACCCGTCTTTTAGAGAAGTGTTTGTGCTAGCGGAATTTTGTACTCAGTAAGAAGGACGTGTTCAGTTTTAATTTCTTTGTCAGTTTGTGCTGTGTTGGGTTTTTCTGAAATGTATACTAGTGCTGTCTGTCATGCCTGGTGAATACTGTGCAGACATTATCCAGAATCACAGATCCAGCACTGACTTTCCGTGTGTGAAACAAACAGGAAGAGGTGGCAAGAAGCCGAAAAGCAGTGGCAAACGTTACAGATATAACGGATGAAACGTGCACAAAGTGGAGTACATGACATACATAATCTGTGACGTCGCCAGGTAGAGTATATGCATAACCTATGACGTCACCAGATGGAGTACATGCATGTCGCCAGGTGGAGTACATGCATGATATCAAGAGTCCATAACCCCAAGAGTGTGCAACTCTGTACATGGGGATCCGTGCGGCGGAATTCCAACATTCCGTCAAAAATGACGCTTGTACTACTCCCTGGTTCTAAGCACCGCGGATTGCGGAGTTTTGTTCAGCGGTGCCTCAGCGGCATGGCGTAATGTTGAAATTCCACCGCGCAGTGGGCCTACAGCAGGCAGACCCCAGTTGCACACTCTTGGAGTTATGGACTCTTGATGATATGTGACGTCACCAAGATAGCCAGTCCATCATCTACCTGTAGACATTAGACATGGTTAGCATTTTACCGTTCACCCTAACTTCGACCGTACGTCGGCCTGTAGACCGAGTCTACTGTTTTTTGTGTGTTTTCAAGGCATGGTTAGCATTTCGGTTTCTCACACAACGATCATCTTGTGACGTAACCCTAGTTGGAATCTTACCGTTTCGTTCTCCCGCTAAACAGAGCTTTCTATCGTCGAAACTGTACCAAAACGACGGTATTTGGGTGTTGGGTACGAGTACCGTTGGAATTAGCGTGAACGGTAAAATGCTAACCATGTCTACGCACACAAAAACGGTGCAGGCCGGACCGTCAAAATAGCGTGAACAGTAAAATGCTAACCATGTCTATTGTGTGTGTTTGTGTTGAGCAGGTTTGGTCAGGGCTACACGATCATGTTGAAGGTTGAAGCACAGAGTGTGGATGGCCAGGGACCGTCAGCCGCAGCTACGGGTCTGCTTGTGGAACCGGATACATCGGCTGTTCAGGCGTTTGTTTCACAACGCTTTGCTGGTGCTGAACTGCTGGAGTGCCATCATGTAAGAGGAAGAGAGAGATATATAGCGAGAGAGAGAGAGAGAGAGAGAGAGCGAGAGAGAGAGAGAGAGAGAGAGAGAGAGAGAGAGAGAGAGAGAGAGAGAGAGAGAGAGAGAGAGAGAGAGAGAGAGAGAGAGAGAGAGGGGAGGGAGGGAGGGAGGGAGGGAGGGAGGGGAGGGAGGGAGGGAGAGGAGCGAGGAGAGAGAGAGAGAGAGAGAGAGAGAGAGAGAGAGAGAGAAGAGAGAGAGAGAGAGAGAGAGAAGAGAGAGAGAGAGAGCGAGAGAGAGAGAGAGAGAGAGAGAGAGAGGAGAGAGAGGAGAGATAGAGAGGAGAGAGAGAGAGATGAGAGAGAGAGAG